ACTTCAACTTTCAAAGCCCAGGAAATCTAAATCAATGATAACACTCCATACGCAATTCTGTACTCAAACTCCAGAAGCAACATTATAAAACATATTTTAAAATTACTCTGAAAACTACATTTTAACTTGCCAATTAAATTTCTGGTAACTTTAGAAAATGTTCAATAGGAGTCATCTTGACATAACACAACTCTAAGTCACAATTCATGAGGAACTTCAGGGTAGTTTGGGGGCCAAAAATAACAGGGATCTGGAGTCAGACAGCCTGGATTTGATTCCTGCCACCAATTTTTAATGCTTGTAGACCATAAGCAAGTCACTAAACCTTTCTGTGCCTCAGTTTCCTCATCTAACAAATGGGTGGTGTTACTTTGATTTTGTACTGGATTCCGTCTTCTAGTCTTACATTAATCTCATATCTAATGGCCAAAGCTGGGGATCTCTGTGCTAAAATGGGACGCAACTATGTATTTCTTATCTTCATTCTCTCTTAATTCTCTTCTGCTTCAAGGTCATATCCATAGACTCAAGATTAATAATTAAAGAGAAATATAAAAGAGGCAGAGGACAAAGTGGAATTTTGGCTGATGGGTCTTATATCAGTTTTTATGGCATCAGTGTGATGCCAAGTACACAGAATTGCATGGTATAGAATACTTAAATAGAGGAAAATATTTGCAGTGTATGAGTGGGGAAAAGGCAGGTTGGAAAATTATGTTCATGTACAAATACATACATATGACGCATAAAAATATTGGAAAGATATATACCAAAATAGTAACTGTGGTGAGTAATAGGTTATAAGATTACAGTGACATTTTCCTTCTCTGTGCTTTTCTGAACCTTCCCAAATTTCTACAATGAACTGATAAATTTTAAAATCAGAAAAAAGGTTTCTTTCGCAGACATTTTTTTCCCCAGAGAACAATGCTCCCCATGCAGTTGTATTACATCTAAAATCTGTGAAAGTGATGTTAGCTAATACTTATTGGGCATTTATGATGTGCCAGTCGTTATACAAAGTATATTACATAAATTCTCATTTAGTCCTCATACTCTATAATGTAGGTATTGTTCCAACCCCATTTTTGCAGATGAAAAAAATTCAGATTATTCATGTGAAGTCAGAGAGCTGGTAACTGGTGGGGGGACCCAAGATATGAACCCAGGTGATGACTCCAGAACCCCCTCTCTCATGTGCTGGCCACAAGGCTTCCTGCCTCCATCCATGCTGCTTCCAAAAAACATAATCTTTTTTCTTTTTGTTCTTAATTTTTACATCTTCCATGCTCTTTTTGACTCTCGTCCTTTTGGGAGGGAGATGAAAATAGACAATGTGTGCACTTCTTGCATGAGGCAAAGATCAGGCATTCGCTATACATACAGTTACCTCTGCTTTAAACACACACAGCTTCCCAAAGAGAACATGGGAACATGCAGAACCAAAAAGGACTAGCACTGACCACTGGGCGACCCCCCGCCATTATGGGCTCTCACAGCACAGTGAACCTCTCCTTCCCGATGCTTGTCACAGCTGTATTTTACATTTGCTTGTTATCTGGTTACTTATTACATGTCTGGCACTATTCTGAGCACTTGAGATGTATTACTTTTCTTCTCATCATTATTGTCCCCACTTTACATACAAGGAAACTGAGGCCTAGAGAAGTTTAGAAACTTGTCCAAGGTCACAGAGCTAGTGAGTGATGAACCTGGGGTTTGACTCTGACCATAGAGTCATCGCTCTCGAATGAATGAATAAATGTATGAACAAAGGTACACTCTCTATTTTCTTTTTTTAAAAAAAAAAACTTATTAAAATTGTTTAATTTTATTTCTGTAGGTCTTGAATATTTCTCACAAATCATATTTCTAATATTTTTTTAATTTTTATTGCTATTGTGAATGGGATTTTTAAGTTATATTTCTAACTTGTTATTTAGAATGCTCTAGAAAACTGTAGATATTAACATGTTTATAACTCTTGTAAACTTCATTAACTATAATAACTTTAGTTGATTCACCATTATTTTAGCTACATAATCTCTTAATTTCTATAAAAAGTAATTTGTCTGCTCTTTCCAACATGGAGATATCATCTTTTTTTCATGTTTTCCAACTACATTATCAGGCCCTCCAAAAACTACATTAGATAATAGTGAGCAGGAATCCTTGTCCTGATTTTAGTGGAGATGTTCCTAGTGACAACATGAAGAGTGACGCTGACTATGGGCTTAATCCTTCCATCATGTTAAGGAACTAGTCTCCAAGTCCCTTTTTTGAAGAGTTTTTATTAGGAACAGATACTGAATTTCATCATCAAAAGCCTCTCTAGTGCTTAGATAATTATGATTTTCCTTGAGCTATTCATAACAAATACTATTAATATGTTTTAGATCATCGAATCATATTTCACATTCTGTTTCGACCTGCTCTGGTTGTAAAGATTTTTTTTTAATATACCAAAATTAAAATTAAGTAATTTTTTAAAATTTGAATTTGAATTTAACTATATTTTTTAAACTACATCCATAGTACATCAGTCTCTCTTTACCACCGACACCTCAGGCCTAATCCATCCTCTGTGACATTAAGAGAGCTACTTTCTAAATCACAAACATGGCTCTTCCTTATACTCAGAAATCTGCAAAGCCTCTATGTTTTCTGTACGATAAAGTACCTACCTCTTAGCACAAGCATCACCTCTTGTAATAGAGCCCCCACCTACCTTTTAATCTTCATTTCAACCATTTTGATTCCAAAATGCCCCTCACTCATGTCTCCTTTTCTCATGATTCTCCTGGAAGGTCCTTCCTTATTTTCTTCTTTAGGACAACTGCTCACTTTCTTGGGCCAACACGATGACCACCTCTTCTGTGTCTCCTCCCCGCCAGTCCTCCCCACCATTTCATCCCTGCTTCTGCTGTGTCCCCAGAGCACCAAGTATAGATCGCTGTCATGGGACCTGCTACAACCCTGCTTGTGCATAGTTACACTTTTAGAGCAGGGGCCAGCAAACTTCTGTGGAGTTATCAGATGGCAAACATTTTAGGATTTCCAGGCCACATTTGATCTCTGTTGCATTTTTGTCCTGACATTTTAATAATGTAAAAAAAAACATTCTGAGCTCATAGGCCATTAAAAACAACAACAACAACAACAAAAAACAACAACAACAAAATAGGCCACCAGCTATGGGCCATAATTTGCATACTCCTAGTTTATAATCTCATCTCTGCCACTGGACTATAAGCTACCTGAGAGTGGGGACGACCTCTAATTCCTCTTTATATTCCCCAGCTCCTGGCACATAGAGGTGTTCAAATCATTGACATCAATTGAACTGAAACATCAATAACTAATTTATCCTGATGAATCAAACACACTCATGGACAATTTCCCCAAAGCTTGAACAATCTCAACAAAAAGTCATTTTATATTTTGAGTCTCTTAGGCATCTGGGCATGAAAAGTAAGCCCTAAATATGGGTGAAAAGAGAAAATGATTTTTGCTTCACTGAGTAAGAAAAACTATAATGTTCAGCCAAAGAGCTCTCCCTCCACAAATGCAGATAAAGTGCTTCTATCAGAGAGTTTGACTACTCCCTGGGCCCCCATACAGAATATAACTTCAGCTTTCGAGTAGCCCACTCAGTTTCTCATTGCAAAAAATCATCTAGACTTGGAATACTGTTTTGAATACTTGTCAGGTATCCCGCCTAGCTATCAGCGATTCATTTACCACAACTTGGGAGAAAGCATTTTTCTAATGCATTACATGCCAGAGAAACACCAGCCATTATCATTATTATAGCTAGCACCCTGCTCCCTGGTTCTCCCAACCAGAAATGCTTCAGAAAGGTGATGATCACCCCTCTCTAGTTAAGGAGCCAACATTGTTAAATTGTGAGAGATGAGGAATGCATTACTGGCATAATCTCTGTCTTAACTTTGAGAGCTCAACACCTGCCTTGCCAGGGCTCCCAAGAGCATGAGCTGGTGAGGAAAGGGAGGAGCAAATAGAGCCATTGCTAAGAAGGCAATGACCCTCTGCACACCTGCTCTGTGAGGTCAAGTCCAGTCTAAGCTTCCAAAGGAATGAGCAAAACTGGAGACTAATTCCACTCACATCCACATTGGGCAGGTCCACCTGGACCCAGAGAAGCAAAGCACCAGAAGGTCCAGTCTTCAAGCCAGGCAGTGCTTCTGAATGTATGTCTGTTTAGAGCAGGAAT